GGGAGGGGGGGGGGGAGGGGGTTGGGGGGGGGGGGGGGCTGACCTAGGGGTGCAGTCAAAGGGGACTGCTCCTTGCGGAAATTTGGAAATTTGCACGGGTGCCTTCTAGGAGAAGGAGGGGCCACTAGGGAGCGAGAGCACCCTGGAGCCGAGGGTCTGGACCCCGAGGTGGGAGGCCTCTCGGCAAGTTCTCGGAGGCTGGCTGGACTCTAGCCTAGCGCATGAGGAGGCAGGGCCGACCTCCATGGCTTAGCTCAAATAATTGCTTGCTTGCCTTGGAGCTTGGTTTGTTCTGTGTGATTTTGTTCACTGACCAGAGGGCGTGTGTGCACACCAGAGACAGAGAAGAGACAGGAGAAAGCACTTCCCAGGGGAGTGTGGTTGGACCACCATCCCGTCTCCCCACTCTCCATCCTAGCAGGACTGGGGGTTCCTCCCTCACACGCAGCATGTTTGTCAAGCCACCAGGGCTGGGATTTGAACTGTGCGGACGGCCCTATGCGATCCAGCTCCTTAACTACCAGGCCATGAGACCGGCCCACGCCACTTTCTTTCTTTGCTCAGTGGTGATTGCCGGGGTCCGCCTGCCGCCATCTGTGTGTGCTTACTTGTCAGCCGCCTGCTTTCCTTCTGGAACTCAAGCTCTGAGAGTGCAGGGACCCTGTTCCTTGTAACCCCATCCCCAAGAGTAGTATGTCCTACATGGAAGTCAGTCAATGCGAGGGGTCTTCAGAGACGCATGGAAAACGCATGTTACGAGAAAACTCTGCATAGGTTTCAATTTTTTTTGAGAGAGAGATTTTTGCTATAGGGCAGTGTGCACTCACCAGAGAGACAGAGACAGAGAGACAGAAACTGGGAAATCACTCCCCAAGGGAAATGGCCATGCTGCAATCTCTTCTCCTCCATTCTCCTCTTGGGATTTTGAGCACACATGCACACACACCCTGCATGAGTTTCAAGCCATCGGGTTCGAGACTCAAACTGCAGCCGACCACGTGGGAGTCCAGCGCCTTAACTATTACACCATCTGCTGGCCCCTTGTTTCTTTTTCTTTGCCTCAAAATAAACTCATTTAATTCCATTTTCCACAGGCTTTTTTGAAATTGCCTGTATACAGATTTGCTGAACGAACTTGTCTGACGTCTTCCTTGGCTCTTTAGACATCTCTCTGTAGAGACCAGGCAGTGGCACAGAGGTCATGCAGTGTCCTGGGCTGACCACGTGGGAAGGTTCCAGGCTCACATCCAGGGGCCTCTGGGAACACGCCAGGCACATATGTATGTCCCTCGTGAGGGCTGCCTAAAGCTGAGGCCTGTTGGCATTCTTGTCGCACTCTCTCTCTCTCAGGTACACTGTGGAAGAGAAAGAAAGAGAGAAAGAAAGGTTAAACTTAACAAAAAGCAAAGGTAGGGGCCAGCAGATGGCGTGGTGATTAAGGTTCTAGAATCCCACATGGCGAATTGCAGTTCAAGTCCCAGACCTGGTGGCTTGCTTTCTCACTTTCCCTCTCTCTCTCTCTCTGGTCAAGTTCAAACCTAATAATAAATAATATTTTTAAAATTATTTGGAGAAAAAGCAAAAAATAAAAGCCACCACTCTGCAAAGTAGGTGTTAACGACCTTCGTTTTATTTATCTATTTATTATTTTTAAATTAACATTTATTTATCTATTTATTTGTTGCACTTTTCAAGTCATCGGGTCCAGGATTCAAATTATGGTCAGCCATGTTGGAATCCAGCACCTTAACCACCTGCCACCTGCTGGCCTAGCTCCATTTATGAAATGAAGGAGATGGGTTTAAGTCACAGAGCTGGCTGACCCATCATACAAGCTAGACCCTGAGGAAACAGCGTCCAGGGCTTTGTGGTCGCCCAAACTGGAGACACGCCGTGGACCCGTCTGTGACCACCGCATTGTAAGCACGCAGGCCGCTCTCATGCTCAGGAACCCACGTGCTGTTCTCCACGGGGAGTTCTGCACACGTTTTCTAGAAAGAACTTCAGGGCCAGACAGTGGCACAGCCAGAAAGCGCAGTATCTGAGAGGCTGACCTGCTCCAGAGTTCCGGGTTCACATCTGGAGACCTCCCTGAGGACAGCGGGCACACACGTGCTCATCAGCTGGTATTGGCCGGGGCTGGGGACAGCAGGTCACAGCCTCGGGACCTTGTTGGGGTGCGAGCTTTCCATCGCTTGCTCCCTGTCTTGCTTGTGGATGAAAGAAATGAACTTATAAAAAACCTGTAGGGGCCAGCAGGTGGTGTGGTGGTACACTGGATACCCACATGGTTGGCCACAGTCAACCCCCGGGCCTGGTAGCTTGAAAATCATGCTGCAGATGTGTGTGTGCATGTCCGGAATCCTGAGACGAGAGCAGAGGAGAGGGAAGAAGAGACTGCGGAGTGGCCGTGGCCCGGGGGTGAGTTCTCACTTTCTCTGTCTCCTGGTGAGCGCACACATCTTACGGCAAAAGAAAACAACAACAACAACAACAAAAAAGGGAAAAACCTTCCCTCGCTTCTACCAAATGCACCTCATCAAACCATATTAAAAACAAATTTTCTGGAGACCGGCAAATGGCATAGTGATCCTACATGACCTGGTGGCTTGAAACTCTCACCGGGCACATGTGCATGCGTGCCCAAGATCCCAGGAGGAGAATGGAGAAGGGATTGCAATGTGGTCGTTGCCCCGGGGAGGGGGATGATTTCTTACTTTCCCTTTCACTGTCTCTGTCTCGCTCTCTCTCCCCAGAGAGCACACACGCCCTAAGGCAAAACCTCTCAAAAAAAAAAAATAATAATAATAATTAGCTGTCTGAAGAGTTTGGAATTCCCTGAGCTGGACGAAGCAATGTAAGGGTGTTCACGCACTTTGTCTACGCTGGGTCCTTGTGATTCCTTGGAACCATGACATTTATAAACCAGCAAGAGGCTTTGGAAAGTCCACAGCCTGGGCCTGGAACCAGCGTGTCCTCGGGTCTGGGGCTTGCAGTTCTCTGCGCCCGCGCTGGAACAGGGTCCTCACCGCACCCCGGAGCGGCGTGCACTAGCTGCCCCGGGAACATCTTTAAACACAGCGCCAGCGTCCGAAGGGTAATAACACGGGGTCATGAATGATAAGGCAGGAAGTGCCATCCACTGCTTGCCTGCTCAGCACATGTGGTATCTCCTGTAGGTGCTGGGACCCGGTCCAGCTGCTCCCTGAACCGCCACAGCAGCATGGTCCCACTAGAAGAGGGAAAAGGGAGAGTGGCCAGGGATCTAAGAGGGTCTTTGCACTTAACTCAGCCATTTGAGCTCAGGCTTCGTGGTCCCGGAACAGAGACGATCGTGAAATCCTTGTGGCTTGCTTAGCGGCCTGGCTAACGAGGATGTTAAGGAGGGCAGAGGTGAGATCCTCATTAAGCATGCCCTGCCACTGGGGCCGCAGGTGGCATGGTAGTTAAGGCTCTGGACTCCCATGTACCACAGTTCGAGTCCTGAACCTGGTGGCTTGAAAAATCACACAGGGCGTGCATGCCCCAAGTGCCAGGAGAGTGGAGAAGGGATTGTGGCATGGCCATCCCCTGCGAAGAGTGACTCTTCACTTTGTCTCTGTCTGCCTGTCTTTGGCAGTGCATGTGTCCTGTGGCAGAAACCATAAATAAAAGGAAAAACAAATGCCTAGGGGCCAGCAGGTGGCTGAGTGGTTGTGGCCCTGGACTCCCACATGGTGGTTTGAGTCCCCGACCAGGCAGCATCACCCTGGGCTCGTGAGCACCATCCGTAGGGTCCCAAGAGCATAACGGAGGAGGAGGGATTTGGGCATGGCCATTCCTCCTGGAGGCGTGATTTGTCACCTCCCCTCTCACTTCCTCTCCCTGTCTCTCTCTGGGTGGGGCCCATGCCCTATGGCAAAAAAAAAAAAAAAAAAAAAAAAAATTAAAAGAAAAAGGATGCCCTTCCATTAATGAGGCTCCACTTCCTGCCAGGATCAACTGCCCCTGCCCTCCCCTGCCTGGCTGCAAGGCCCCAGCAAACAGCTAGGGCCAGCAGGTGGCGTGGTTAAGGCTGGACTCCCACATGGCCAACTCCTTGGTTCAGGTCCGAGAACCTACAGCTTGAAAAACACCAGAGGAGCCAACATATGGCATGCTGGGCACGCACGCTCCCTGGAGAGACAGAGATAGAAAGTGAGAAGTCATCCCCGCCCTGCCAAGGGCGATGGCCACACCACAATCCTTTCTCCTCCGTTCTCCTCTCAGGATTTGGGGCACACATGTACACGTGCCCAGCATGAACTTTAAGCTTCCAGGTCCAGGACTCGAACCATGGTCAACCACGTGGGGAGTCTAAGGACGTAACCATTATGCCATCTGCTGGCCCCTCTGTTTCCATTTTTTAATGACAAAGAGGATGAATAAAGAAAGAATTTTCGTTGGTTCTGTTGCTAATAACAGAAGCTACGTGAACCTGGGTGATTTTTATAAGTAGAGGTTTATTCGACTCGTGGCTTGGCGGTCCCAGGGCCAGGGGCCATGTGATGAGGGTCTTCTTACTGTGAGAAACATGGCGGGGGGCAAAAGCGTGCATGTCTCTGTCTCTCACTCTCTCTCTCCTTATAAACCCACCAATCATGGGGCCTCACCCTGGTACCTGAGCACTTCCCAAAGGCCCTGGCTCTCAACGCCGCAATGGATTACGTTTCCTCTTAGCACCTTCACAATGCAGCCAAGTCCGAACACATTCGCTTCCGCGGACATACCCAAAGCAGAGCCGAAAGGAAACCTACAGTTGACATTTCAAGCACATTCCTAGAAGATTTGCAGAGGAGCAGGGTGTCATTAAATCTTTATTTTGTTTTATTCTTTTAAATTTTGCTATAGGATGCCTGTGCGCACTGGGGAGAGACAGAGAGAAAGAGAGACAGAGAGACAGGGAAGTAAGAAATCACCCCCAGGGAGATGGCCACACCACAATCCCTTCTCCGTTCTCCTCCTGGGATTTTGAGCATGCACACACATGTGTCAGGTGTGTTTTTCTTTTTCTTTTTTTTTTTTAAGAAGTTTTTGCCTTAAGGTGCATGTGCACGAGGACAGAGAAAAAGACAAAGCAGACACAGGCTACGTTTGGCTAAGGATAAACGAGGGGTGTAGCCGGTTCACAAACTGCTCAGCTCACCTTGGCTCCTATCCGAAGGGCAGCAGTTCTTGAAGTGTGGCCCAGGAACCCTCATGGGCTTGAGACCGTCTCAGGGGTCCCCGCGGTCAGTACTGTATGCGTGGTAGTTCTGAGACGTCGCTGTCCTTCCCACGCCCGCTCTCTCGCACTCCCAGGGCGTGTTCCAGAGGCTCTCGTAGGGCGTGCGCCGTCACACGAATGAGGACGTGGACGCGACAACCGGCTGTCTCCCACCACGGCAGACTCAGTTGCAAAAACGGAAAACGAGGCCCCCTGTCGCCAGCAGGTGGTGTAGTGGTTACGATGCTGGACTCCCACGTGGCCAGACATAGTTTGAGTCCCAGACCTGGCACCTTGAAAATCACACAAGGCGTGTATGCACATGTGCCCAAAGTCCTGGGAGGAGAATGGAGGAAAAGGGATTGCAGGACAGCCCTCCCCCCAGGGGCAAATCCTCACTTTTCCTCTCACTGTCTCTCTCTGGAAAGCACATCCACTCTGTGTCAAAAACCTTTTAAAAAAAAGAAAAAAGAAAAGCAATGCCCTTCTTTTCATCAGTTTTTTTGTCTTGCAAAATATAGTTATTTTTCATAAGTTGTATTACTTACGTTAACATTTAATGGGTTTATTGCTTTCTTTCTTTCTTTTTTTTTTTTAACTTGCTATAGGGCATGTACAGTCACTGGAGAGGCAGCGAGAGAGAACTCACACTCCCTTCCCCGCAGGGACGGCCATCCCACAGTCTTCTCTTGGGATTTTGGGCCTTAGCCACCAGGCCGCCTGACTGGCCTATATAATTTTAAAATGCTTACTCTTTTTTCTAAGTTCTTAATAACTAAGACATAGTCCATGCACACAGAAGCTCTTCAAAGTTCTAATTTATGAGTATAAAGGGCCCCAAGAGCAAAAAGTTGGCAAATCAGTCTTACAATGTCCTGCCATAGGAGTGGCCACGTAAAACCCTTTTAAAAAAAATTATT